TAGGTAGGTAGGTAGGTAGATAGATTGATGATAGATAGATAGCAAAAGAGAGAGAGAGAGAGAGAGAGAGAGAGAGGGTTCAGATTAGAAGAATAGAAGCAGAATTCAGAATCGTAAGTACTTGTTTCACAGTAACAAGGAACCAAAATTCAAGGCAAATTACTTGCCACCGTACTTACAGCCGTGCTGGCCAAAGCCCCCCTAAACTGCCGAGGGCCCTTATCATAGTAAGCCTTAAACCTGAAATCCTCAATTCCTCAAGCCTCAGTGCTTGACTTCCTTAAGCCTGAAACGCTAAGTTCCTTAAACCTTGAGTCTTGGATTCATTATCCTTGAACCGTGAATTCCTTCAGCATGAGGCGCACAAGTCCTTAAGCCTTAGATGAGCCTTGAACCCTGAACTTCTCAAAGCCTCGAAGCCTGAAGACGTTGAGCTTCAAACTTAAGCGATAGTCCGGCTGCAAGGACAGCACGAAAGCGCTGATCCAGGCGACTTGGGTTTGGGGTTCAGCGCTGAGGGTCAGCCTGGGTCAATCCCTTCCATTTTAGGGCTTAGGGCTTTGGCTCGTTTTGACCTTGTCATTTTGGGGTTTAGGCTTTTGGGGTTATGGAAGGAAGAGCCGTTGAGAAGGAAATGGTTGGGCCTGAATAGCCACTTGTGGTCTGTGCTACTGAAAGGGGGATGCACGTCAAGCATAGCCATGCGTGCAGGATTTTCAGGGCCGTGTCTGAAGATGAGCAGCGTTTGGGTTAGGTCAGGCCCCACGCGCTATTCGGGACTGCATGGCATCATGGTAGTTTACTTTGATTTATTTGGGGCTCCTCCTGTTGATCACCGATTGTGGACTCAATGCCGTAGAACTTCCGGTTTTAAGCCGCAGGGTGCAGTCAGGCTTTCGATTTTAGGGTCGATGTACGGTTTGGGATTCAGGGATTCTGAAATGCTTCAGCCCTCTACCTTCTAATCCTGGACCCCTGCGTGACGGCTCAGAAGTAAATCTATCCTTACAGTAGTTTAGTACCCGGACCTACACCATTGTAAACGATCCTTGCACTGCGGCGAGGCCCAAAACCCAGCCCATAGATCCTAAACTCCCCCAAGATTTAGAAGCACTAAACCTCGAGTCTCAAACCCAACATCGCAACAGCCTCAGGCTCAAGGGCAAAAGAGCCGAACACCAAACACCCAAAAACTCCAAAACCTCCTTGCAAAAGGCGCTGAGCGAAGACGCAGAGGTGGATGTGCGATGGCGTGCAGCTCTCTCCCTTGGTCCGGCAGCACAGACCAGATGGAGGGGCCTTGGGAGAGTTCGGGGTTTTGTTGGGCGTGTATGTGGGGTTTTAGTAGGATTTATGAGTTTCAGGTGGGAGCTTTGATATTACGGCTTTGTGCTGTGTCAGCTGTGGCGGAGCACTTTTTTTTTCCTAACGTTGGCGGTCCCCGGTTTCCCTTGCTAAGGTTGGCGGTCCC